GATCAAGCGACAACACCGTGACAGCCCAAAACCGTGCCCAAGCGGACCAGGCGGACAACACTGTGACAGCCCAAAACAAACCAAGCGGACAACACCGTGACAGGCCAAAACTGCCCAAGCGGACAACACTGTGACAGCCCAAAACTGCCCAAGCGGACAACACCGTGACAGCCCAAAACCACCCAAGCGGACCAGGCGGACAACACCGTGACAACCCAAAACCGCCCAAACGGACCAGGCGGACAACACTGTGACAGCCCAAAAACGACCAAGCGGACAACACCGTGATAGCCCCAAACCGACCAAGCGGACAACGCCGTGACAGCCCAAACCCACCCACGCGGACCAAGCGGACAACACCATGACAGCCCAAAACCGACTAAGCGGACAATGTCCTCCCCCCCCCCGACGGCCGGACCCCGGGTGTTTGAACCTGGGACGATCCTCTGTTGAGACACCCTTTCGGTTCCATCTGGACGAAAGTTGTTGAGACACCCCTTTTGGTTCAAGATTTTGTGTTTTCTGGCCAAGTGGTGTTGAGACACCCTTTCGGTACCATCTGAACGAAAGTTTTGTTGAGACACTTCTTTTTGTTCAAGATTTTGCTTTTTCTGCCCAAGTGGTGAAGACACCCTTTCGGTTCCATCTGGACGAAAGTATTGTTGAGACACCCCTTTTGGTTCAAGATTTGTTTTTTCTGCCCAAGTGGTGTTGAGACACCTTTTCGGTACCATCTGGACGAAAGTGTTGTTGAAACCTTTTGGTTCAAGATTTTGTGTTTTCTGTCCAAGTGGTGTTGAGACACCCTTCCGGATCCATCTGAACGAAAGTGTTGTTGAGACACTTCTTTTTGTTCAAGATTTTGTGTTTTCTGCCCAAGTGGTGTTGAAGACACCCTTTCGGTTCCATCTGGACGAAAGTATTGTTGAGACACCCCTTTTGGTTCAAGATTTTGTGTTTTCTGCCCAAGTGGTGTTGAGACACCCTTCGGTACCATCTGGACGAAAGTGTTGTTGAAACCTTTTGGTTCAAGATTTTGTATTTTTCTGTCCAAGTGGTGTTCAGACACCCTTCCGGTTCCATCTGAACGAAAGTGTCGTTGAGATACCCGTTTTGGTTCAAGATTTTGTGTTTTTCTGCCCAAGTGGTGTTGAGATACCCTCGGTTCCATCTGGACGAAGGTGTTGTTGAGACACCCCTTTTGGTTCAAGATTTTGTGTTTTCTGCCCAAGGGTGATGAGATATCCTTTCGGTTCCATCTGGATAAAAGTGTTGTTGAGACCTTTTGGTTCAAGATTTTGTGTTCTTGCCCAAGTGGTGCTGAGTTACTCTTTCGAATCCATCTGGACGAAAGTTGTTGAGATACCCCTTTTGGGTCAAGGTTTTGTATTTTCGGCCCAAGTGGTGTTGAGATACCCTTTCGATTCCATCTGGACGAAAGTGTTGTTGAGATCCTTTTTGGTTCAAGATTTTGTATTTTTCTGCCCAAGTGGTGTTGAGACACCCTTTCGGATCCATCTGGACGAAAGTGTTGATGACCCCTTTTCGTTCAAGATTTTGTTTTTTTTGCCCAAGTGGTGCTGAGACATCCTTCGGTTCCATCTGGACAAAGGTGTTGTTGAGACACCCCTTTTGGTTCAAATTTTTGTGTTTTCTGCCCAAGTGGTGTTGAGATACCCTTTCCTTGTCCAAGTGGTGTTGAGACACCCTTTCGATTCCATCAGGGCGAAAGTGTTGTTGAGACACCCCTTTTGATTCATTAGAGTTTATGAAGCTGTTGCGAGCGAATTAAAGAGGGATGGTGGGGCGGGGTTCACGAAAGAGATTATGATCCGGACCCTGATCGTGGATTAGATGCTTCTTTGAATTTCAATCTAATATCCAATCCAAAGATAATCATTTTTATTTTTCTTGGAATCCCATATTCATATCCAATCCATAGAACATGCTTTTTTTGGGTTAATTCTTCGAAAAATTAGCACTCCGAATATCAAAATGAAACGATGCGTACGATATATACGATCCATAGAAAATACTTATGATCCTTCCTTGAATTTCAACCTATTATTCAGATTCATAGCCAATCATCAGAACAAATTCTTGTTCAAAGATCATGATTTGACTTTTCCTTCAAGTCCATCCATATATCCAATCGAAAGATCATGATCTTGATCCTTCCTTGAATTCCATCCAGATTTCCCACAAGATCGAATATTGAGATTCTTCCATACATTCTATCCTAATTCTCAAATTCATATCCAATCATCAGAATAAATTCTTGATCCTTCCTTGAATTCCATCCTAATACCCTATTAAAGATCTTCTTGGATCCCATCCAAATTTCCAAAAAAATAGATTCTTCCATGAATTCCATCCTTAAATCCAATCGAAAAATCATGATCTTGATGTTTCCTTGAAATCCATCCAAATATCCAAAAAGATCGAATATGGATGTGATTCCTTCCACCCTAATATCCAATCAAAAGATCTTGAATTTGGGCCTTCCATGAATTCCATCCTAATATCCAATCAAAAGATCATGAGCTACATCCTTTGCAAAAGATCGATCATGATCTTGATCCTTTCTTGAATCCTATCCTAATATCCAATCCAAAGATCATAATTTTGATTCTTCCTTGAATTCCATGATCTTGGTCCTTCCTTGAATCATCCTAATATTCGAAAGATTATGATCTTAATCCTTCCCTCCTGCAATTCCATTTCCCAAATTCATGGTCTTAGATCTTCCTTGAATTCCGCCCTGATATCCAATGGAAAGATCATGGTCTTGGATTTCCTTGAATCATCCTAATATTCGAAAAATTATGATCTTCAATCCTCTCCCCAAATTCATGATCTTAGATATTCCTTGAATTCCGCCCTGATATCCAATGGAAAGATCATGGTCTTCATCCTTCCTTGAATCATCCTAATATTCGAAAAATTATGTTCTTAATTCTCTCCTCCTATAATTCCATTCCCCAAATTCATGATCTTGGATCTTCCTTGATATAAAAAATCAATCGTGACCTTAATATTTCCTTATACCTCAATCAATTTTCCAATCGAAAATCATCATCGAAAAATCTCGAATATATAATCATTTAATCTAAATCATATTTATATTCATGAAAAAATGCGTATAATTCATCCTTCCTCAATTTCTCAAATAATTCGTCAGCAAATATTCGCCCAAAAACCTTTTCAGAAATAATTTCCGAAAATTTTTTTAGAATCATGATTAAAATGTATATTTCCTTTCTCTAAGATTAAATCACGAATCAAGATTATTAGAATTTGGATCAATCAAATCATCCTTCGAGTATCCCCACCCTCTCTAGAGATATTCTGGGGTTGAACACTCCACGGATACTCTGGGTCCGGGGATACTCTACGGTTGTACACTCCAGGGAGATTCTGGGAATTGGACATTCCAAAGAGACTCTGGGTTGGGCACTCCAGAGAGATTCCAAGGTTGGTCACTCCGGGAACACTTCGGGGTTGGAGTCTCCTGGGAAATTCTATATTGGGCTCTCCAGGAGATTCGTTTCGGGGTTGGGTTGACCCTAGGTAGGGATGAGCGAGGAGTAGATCGGGCGAGGAGAAGAGTTCCAGGCGAGGAGAAGTATTGAATTTAAAATCTAATAATCCCGCACCGAGGATAGAAAACAACAAAATCATTTCATCATTCCGAGACCCCCCTTCGTATATTGAAAAACCCACCACTACCCCCAATTTACCAAGAATCTCGAGAAAACGAAATTCCAAAATCAATACATACACACACGAACCGAACGAAAATCTTCACAAAGGGAAGACTTATGTATCCCAAAATATTACGATAGCCGCCTTGACATACGATCATTCCCTTCCTTTTGATCGTTGTGCAAGAAGTCGACACCACCTACACGAAGAATCGAATCTAATATAACGAAGACCACGAAATTGCTCAAGGAATGAAATACAAGTCTCACAACTTAATCTACCGAAAGAAACGATCAAGAGCCCCTTGAACCACATCCAGAGACACCAACACGAAATTTATTCGAATATTATTATTATCAATATAGAGAATCTTTATTATTTTCGATAGGATATTTAGGAAGAATACGATGTACTTAAATATAATCTCCAAAAAATATTCGGATCAAAAAAACAAAGCTCCCAAAAATATCCACATTCCAAAATAACAAAACATTCCAAAATAACAAAAGAAATAATATATCATGCACAAAATAGATATAATAATTCCAAGTAATACAAACAATACATCAAAAGCCCACCACCCAGACCAAAAGCATAGAATCATAGCAAACGAATGAGAATGTAAACGACCCCATCAAAACCAATGAATATATAAATTCCTTTCCTATATAGATAAGTCCCTTAGACCGAAATATCCCTTCCAAATCCTCCTCCCAAACCCAAAGTCATAAATCAACCTCCTTTTTAGCCTAAAATAACGTAAATAAATCCTCCTCCCAAACGATCATAATGAAAACAATCAGTTCTCCAAAATCAAGAATTTTTGAAGCCCCATCCAATAACCCCCCCCCTCCTTTCCTTATTTCCCTCCTATGATCATCCCCTTCTCCCATCCATCTATTATTTAGAATCCAATCGTAAATATCATTGAACCATCATGTCCAAGCCGAACAAACATAGCATGAAAAATAAAGAAAATATAAATTCATGTATTATATTTTTCCTTTCATTCTTCTACTACTCTCATAGAAAAATTACAAGAATTGAAATATAATTCAAAATAATTAATTATTCTGATTTTTATCATCCAAAATTATCAAAGAATACCCTTCAATTAAATCCTAGATTCTATTCCCTCTAAAAATATTTTTCAGAGTCGATTTCATGAAACCTCCATGGTTTGTTAATGAATCCTTGAAAATATCTTGTTATCATTTCTGAATTTCCATCATCCGATGAAAGCAAATTAATCTTATGATATAGATTGAAGTATATGTCCATGCCTTCGTTTTGTTTCAAGCATTCGGCGTCGTTTCGAGCCTCAGGTGCTTGCACAAGCTACTCACGCTACATTGAGAGATGATGCAAGCTCCTGACCATTTACGAGCCTCTGGAAGCCGGAGCACACTTGCCTGAGCGATACAATAAGATGCGGGGTTCCAACAGAGTTGTTCTGCTGAGCTCTGCTGAGCTGCACGCACTGGTAGGGAAAAATCGGCAGTCTTGCCCCTGCAGACTCAACTTTGGAGCCTGAACATGCACAGCACAGCAGGCATAGGTCAACCCGTCATCCCTTCATGTGCTCACCGGCTGCTTTGCTTCCCCCGTCCTTGTCCTTGGATTCGGCGACTGTCCGCAAGGACTGTGCGTCCAACCAAACGGATTGCAAGTGTCCCACCTGCGTACGGCAGATTCAATGCATCAATCTGAGTTGATCAGGACTTTCTGTTCGGTTCATGGCCTTTCCGACGTGGTAACTTGGACCTTGGGACGATGACGCACATGCATCAACCTTCATCTATGAATCTGTAGGAGTACGTTGGGTACATCGTCGAGGTGGCGCGACGCGCTGCGCGGCTGGGATGCGCGGCTCGGCTTCGGCATCGCCTTCAGCTCGGCCGCTGTCTCCTACAGCTCTTCTGATTGAGAAGAACGAAGAAAACAACATCACCACACCATGTCTCGAACCTTGCTGGGAAGCCAGGTCCCGTCCTCTTGCCGCTGCTTCTTGGCAGGCGGCTCATGTCCTGCCGACACGCAAACTATCTCAGACTCAATGACTCAATCGTGCTGCGAGAAATGAAGATATTCCGAGGCTCCTGGCTCATCGGCCTCTGCCACTGGCACCTCACAGAAAAGGACCGTGAGACCAGCAGGTGCGAAGTAGAGAGCCATGTTGTCGGCTCCACTCCTTGACAACCCACGTCAAGACTCTTGGAGTGGTTCGTGGAATCGCAACAACTGGGGGTAGCTGCATTGCAGACACTGAGATTCTCACCATGTCATGGGCACTTTGCTCCCTGGAGCCAATCCTCAGGACTTTGGCATCGACGGGTTGTGGCACGCTTCAATCTTCGAGCGCCAGGCTGGCTGCTGCGCTGTCACCACCACCATCGAAATCTGCAAAGTCCAAATACCTGCAACTCTCCCTCTCGTTTCAGGGTGCACCAGAGGGCGCGGAACCCAAAAACAGCAACAGAATGCGAACGGAACGGAACGAGAACATGACTTCGTCATCTGTAAAAGAGTGCGAATCTGATTCGTTGACAAACTTTGATAACAGATGGACTCGCATACTGTCTCAATTTGTAGGTGACATCGGCACCAATATGATGCGATGGAAAGGAGGCACATACTCTGCTGTAGAAGGGCCTGTAAGTCGAAACCATCAAGCGCAACTCACGCAAACCCATACCCCCCGGCCTGGCCAGGGAGCCATAGTCAAGGGTCTCCTTCAACCATGAAACAGCAAGACTGTACATCCGTGCCAAAGCAAGAACGCTCATGAGAAAACGTGTTCGCCTCGATGTACTCACGCTTGGCCGTTTCAACCGGATCGTTCTTGTCCTGCGAGATGAGCTTGCGTCTCAGATGCTCAAACACATCAAACACATCATGCGGGCACTTCCTTCTTCTCCTTGCGTCCCATCGGAAACACCACCAAGCGCCTAAGCAACTCTCACAGTCACCACGGATGGCTCTTCTGTAACAGAGATCAAGCTGAAATAAGGGTGTTGCTCTACGACCTTGCCCTTGTCTTCAAGGTCAAGGAAGCTTGCTTTCACCTTTCTCTCCTGGCATCTGTTGCGAAGTAAACGGCAAGGTGCAGAAAGCACCCATGCAGGCCTCCACAGCCACAAGGACTTTGGCAACGGAGCCATCATCATTGCGAGTGAAGAACACCACGGCAGCAGCACGATAGGCCCCCTTGATGCGAAACATGCATATTGTTTGAGTTCACTTACTTGAGTCCAGATGCTTGTGTCAAGGCGACAAAACACAGTACATCCGCTGCACCTCCGATGGTTGGGCGGTTTCGCCTCGTCGGAACTGTCTCTAGGTGCCATCCACATTGGTGTAGTGTTTTGGCCTCCAGCCTTCAACTTGTCTTGTGGATCAGCAACCTCTCGGATTTTCGAAAAAGAACAGCAATGATCGATTGTTCGGCAACTTCTGCAAACTCGAAGACGCCTCTTTCTTTTTGGCAGCAGGCTTTGCTTCGGCCTGCAGCCAGTTCCGATGCTGCGACAACAAGCTGTGTCTGACACTTGCCTTCTTCTTCTTACCCATCAGCGCAATGGGCCAAGACCCATCCGAATAGATTGGAATACAAGCTGAACCCGGAGTGCATTTGCCGTTTCACTGAAGTTGTGACTCAGACAACATCCACATCTGAGACCGTATGCGAGGTAGGCAAGTAACTCGGACAATTCTGCATGCATGATGTTGAGGAAATTGCCATCGGTGTATATGGTACACATGACAGGCACAGCTTGGGCGTTCTGTTCTGAGATGTTTTGTATGATGTACAGGTCCACATGCACAAATGGCAAATGCACAATCCATGTTCATCCACAACACCACAGGGGGTGTTCCACACCAGCTGTTCCTTTCGGAAGCACGACGGACAAATCTGCTGTCACCGCCACTAGCAACGACACGAGGGAAAATTGTCCACTCCAGTGGTGCCTCTTTGCTTTGAAAGACAGATGTCTGTACAAACAAAAATTTTGCAGCTCGCCAAGCGCTTTTCAAACAGCGCTTCTTGCGAGCTGTCTGCCCACTCAAGACAACTCACGTCGCAAACCAGCACTTCGTCCTTCCTTGCAATTTCATCTAAATGATGGAGCTGGCGTCGTTCACTGCAGTGCTGACAGTTCTGCGCAAACATTAAATCAGGGGCACGTGCCCCGGCCAATGATCTTTTGTTTTTCCGGTGGGTTCATTGACGAGGACATGACAAGATGGCAGAACAACAGGAGAGCCCCCAGAAACCCAGAGAGCTCGGAGCAAATCCTCAGGCTGCTGAACTTCTACACAGCCATGATGGTGCATGGGCGCATATCCTGTAATTGATTACGCTATGCTGCGCCTTGATCACTGGACTATTCACGTGCCACCTGCGCCTGAGCCTTAAATTAAAGACTCTGACCAAATTCTCAGGCACATGTAAGGCAGCTGGAAGCTGAATTTACGGCATATGCCCTGCCAGGTGCAAATTGCGAGCTTGCAAGATGCACTTAATTTGCTAGGTTGAGAATGCAGCTTGCCTCTGATTAGCCACAGGTATTTGCCTTGATTGCAAGCGTCGCGTGTTCGCCTCTGACTGGAACATCGTGCTGCGTCAACAGCAGAGATGAAAAGATACTACACATTCTGACATTAGTATGACAGCTGCGTATCGCAACGCATAGAAGGGAAATGAGGACGACCTCAGAAACTCCTTCTCTGAGCAAGAGGAAACGAAAGGAAGCGGAGTGTCGATCGATCAGCGATCGCCTCGCTGTAAGTAGCTCTGCATTGGAAGATAACACTTCCTCTCGTGTCTATGGAGGCCTGCGTATGCAGCCCTGTTGACACAATCAAGACAATGCGGACTGGAGCCAAGGATGTTGCGGCGTAGCCGTGAACCTGCTCCGGAGTCCATGGCACTCTTGCAATGCTCCTGAATCCCTGTATGTGTGTCCACTGCACAATCCTGGCCTGTCAAGTGCCTGGCCGTCCTCGTCCGTGTCCGAGTCCGAGTCTGTCTCAAACCTACGCCTGAACAGCAGGGCAAGCGATCCCGCGTACTTCCTATGAGAAAGGTTGTCGCTTTCACAGCCACAGGCTACAGGTCTCTAAGCATTGTTAACGAAAAAGCCACGCAACAGACTAGGCAAAACTTGCAATCTCCAGCATGGTACATAGCAGATGTGCAGTCAGGTGGCAAGCATGGCATGGATTTGGACATCAGCTTGCCGCTGCTCACGGAGAAACACATAGAAGCCGACTTCTGCAAAAGCAGCTGCCCTCCTGCACCAGGAGCGGCGCACATACCGTTTCCCCAAACCGTTCTCTAGACCTCGCCTCGAGCCATGGGGCTCCCCTGCCGTGACCTTGGCCCCAAGAAACACAGGGTTTTGGACCTTTGCTAGGTCCTGACGCCTCCTGCCCGTGCCGATAACGGGACATGCTGGACACCCTGCTCCCTGAGGCCTTTGAGGGCACAGCTGATCATGAAGCAGTTTGTACATGCCAGCAACCTGGCAGACTCTGTCAGAATGTTGAAAGTCCATGCGCGCAATGCTATGAACAATCTGAGCAGGGCGGACCCCAGCCAACGCTGCACATCCAACGAGACCGACTGCTGAAGCAGATGCTGCAACAGCGTTCAGAACCTTGCATCGCACGGATGAAAAATCGAAGTGTAACGAGGGAAACAGACTTCGAATGCGCACGCGTAGCACTGAACAGACAGCTCACTGCTGCTCAGTATGCCCTGCGACGCTACGAAGACCGTTTGCTGGGCTTAGCGCTGGTGCAAGGCTGGCTTGCGAAGCACTTGCCGCACCCACCGCAGCTGTAGCCGCCACGCATGCGCCCACAACCTAATGCGCCAGGAAAGGCTCGAATCCAATGCATCCAAGACTCAGTTAACTGAGACGAAAAGGAATGCTGTGCGTCCAACTCCCATGGGCACAGCCGTGTCGGTTGCCGCTAAGGCTATCGTCTCATCGTCGGGGTTTATCCTCTGCGGCTGCCGGTTTAAGGCCATCCCCAGCTCCGCTCGAAGGCTCGCAACCCTGTGTCCTCGTACGAGCACCTAGCCCATTTGCAAAGTCTGCCACGAAGTGCTGGCAATTGGCGCCAATGAAGCTGTAACACCTCGAAACGATTGCAAGCAAGCCAGTCCTGGTGCTGATGAAGCAGCACAGGCAATGCAGCAAGCATCAGAAAAAAAACGGGCAAATAGCATGAAGAAATACACACGAACCGGGCCATGAAGCCCAAGATCCTCACTCATCAACACCCTCCCATCTCCCTTGGGCTTAAGCCCAACTCCACTACAAGCCCCGTCAGATATATTCAGCAACACAATATTGTTGTGATTTGATCACTCGAAGGCTCTAAGGCAATGACTTGTAGCGAGCAAAAGCTCGAATTGCCTGAGCCTGTCAGATGATGCAGTTCGTGGTCAGACACGCGAAAGAAGTGGCATTTTGATAGTGCAAACGCTCGCAGCAAGAAGTCAATCTGGCCAAAAAAGCTCACGCATCAGCTCAACCGCATCATCCCCAGATTTGATTTGCTTTGCCAGCGTCGAGCCGGTGTGAGCTGTGCAAGGTTGTGGCAGGAACTGCAAACTCAAGCAAATTTTAAAAAAGAGGCACATACCCCGGGCTGGCACAAGCACACACGCATATATACACGGTCTAGAGTCTTGTAGTTTAGGGTTTAGGGTTGAAGGTTTAGGGTTGTCAAGGTAGTAGGGCCATGTAAGGGAACACCGGCGCCTGCCCTTGCGAACATCAGTCAGCGACGGCCGTGACTGACCACACGGGATGCTTTGGGCTTCGGCGCCAAGGCTTCACGATCTGCTTCGGCCTTCCAGGGATCACGGACGTGAGGACCTTTTCGGGCTTATCCTCAGGCGGGTAGAAGAGAGCGCCACCGCGTCGTAGTCAAACTTGCTGTTGAGCCGCTTGGCGACGACGAGCTTGAAGTCATCGTCGATCTCCTTCCAGTCGACCAGCATCAGGGGCCACGGGCCCTGCCTGACTTTCGAAGACGGAAACAACGGCTTGCCGCTCTTGGGCATGAAGCCAAACACGAGCTGCTTGGCCGCCTGGATCTCCAGAAGCTTGCGGCTGGCACCGCGCTGAATGTAGTCCTGGAGGCTGCGGTAAGTCTCAAGGCCGCAGAGCTCCTTGAAGGAGCAGGCGGGCCGGCGGGCCGCGCAACCGGGTCGTACAGGGGAACTTGGACAAGGGCAGCTCCTTGGCGGCCAGCAAGTAGTATTCAGTACACGACCTGCGCTTTGCTCCTTGCTCCCCGTTTGTGTATACCCACTGCGGTTTCTCCGCCTCCATTTGCCCATGCAACACCTGCTCGCTTGACCAAGGCGTGCGCACGACCAGCCGCAGGTCCAGGATCGTGCCGGAGAGCGGCTCCTCCACAGCGGATTCCGCGGCATACCTACTCAAGAAACCTTGGCCACAGTGACTCGAGGGCGGCACGCTGTTGTCCTCCTCACGTGTCTTCATGACACCCGCTTTCAGTAAGCGGAGCGTGCCGGAGGCGTCCCGGAACTCGACCGTGCACCAAGCCGTAGGGTGCACCGTCGAAGGCGATCGACAGCAAGCGGCGGAGGTTCCTTGCCGACAGACGGAACACCCAGGGCTTGGCGCCAGAAGCCACCGATCAGGCTCTTCGCGCGGCGCTGCACGAGCTGGAAGTTCTGGGCACGCCGACCGACGAAGCTGCGGATCGTCTCCTTGTTCGGCGCTGGGGACCTGCTTCAAAGCCGGCTGTCTGCCTTGTCGTACAGTTAAGCTATCAACTGCTTTCTCGGAAAGAATTGATGACTAAAACCAGACGTAGAGAGAATGAGCTTAAGCTGTCAATCGCTTTCCCGAAAAGAGTTGGTGACTAAGAGAAGGGGGGAGGCCTTCTCGAGACCCAGCAGGGTCTGCTGTAGTTTCGGGAAGTCGGAGATAGGCGAGGCGGGCCGGCATCAACTCGCGCAGCTCCTCGGATAAGTTCCGGTTAACTTTTTGAAGCACCGTCTCCAGCAAGGCATCGTCCTCGGCTGAGAGGGTGTCAAACTTGCCAGCTCTCCCGAGCTATGGTTCTCAGTGCTGGAAAACACAGCGTTTCCGGTTTGAGCCACGCCACTGTTTGTCATAGTCCGCCAGCACCCCGACTGCCCGTGCAGCAGCAGTAGGTAAGGCACCAAGGCC